TATTTTATTGGGTCTTTTTTGAAAAAGCTTTGATCTCGAATAAGTAACGAATCGAGACATAGTGATTTCTAATACGTTCGTCCAAATATCAATCATTGGTGTCAGAGGTTTACCTATTTAATCTGTGTCTAAAAAGCAATTTACATTCTCTGAAGGAAGTCTTCAGCAGCGTGTGAAATTGCTCGAGGAAGCTGCAAAGAAATGCGGGTTTGCCTACGAAACAATTTGAGGGAAACCTTTCATTTTATTGTAAGTCGTTTTCAACTTCTATGGGCGCCATGTTTAACAGATCGCCAGACGTTATGTTTACGAAATCAATTGGAACTTCAGAATAAAACGAACTTGGATTGGTCAAGATCAAATGTCTAGAAGTTTTGAGGGCAGGGCAGCGCAAGGCAAGGAGGGGCAGGGCAGCGTAAGGGAAGGGAGGGCAGCACAAGGCAAGGCAAGGGACAGGACAGCGCAAGGAAGCGCAAGGCAAGGGGGTCAGGGCAGCGTAATGCAGGGCTGTACAAACAAGGTACGGTAGCCCAAGGTAAGGGAGTCAGGGCAGCGTAATGCAGGACGGTGCAAGGCAGGGCAAAGTGGAAAATAGCAGGGCAGCGCATTGCAGTGCAGGGCTGCACAAACAAGGTACGGTAGCGCAAGGCAGGGCAGTGGAAGGAGGGGCAAGGCAAGGAAGATCCAAGTAGCGCAAAGCAGGCAAGGGGATCAGGGCAGCGTAATGCAGGACTGCGCAAGACAGGGCAAGGAGTAGCATGGCAGGGCAGCGCGTTGCAATGCAGGGCTGCACAAACAAGATAAGGCAGCGCAAGGCAAGGCAGTGGAAGGAGGGGCAAGGCAAGGAAGAGCATTGCAGCTCAAAGTGTTATTTCCATTGTTAAAAGGAAGACAAACGCCTCTGTCGATCAGCAAAAGTGTGAAGGTCTGAAAAACCAAAACGTGATCGAACAAAAAAAGAAACCTAGAGATTTACAAAAACAAGCGCAATTATACACTAGTTGACAGAAATAAAAGCAAAATCTCGATTTTCTATGTTAGGCTACTATTTTATTGGGTCTTTTTTGAAAAAGCTTTGATCTCGAATAAGTAACGAATCGAGACATAGTGATTTCTAATACGTTCGTCCAAATATCAATCATTGGTGTCAGAGGTTTACCTATTTAATCTGTGTCTAAAAAGCAATTTACATTCTCTGAAGGAAGTCTTCAGCAGCGTGTGAAATTGCTCGAGGAAGCTGCAAAGAAATGCGGGTTTGCCTACGAAACAATTTGAGGGAAACCTTTCATTTTATTGTAAGTCGTTTTCAACTTCTATGGGCGCCATGTTTAACAGATCGCCAGACGTTATGTTTACGAAATCAATTGGAACTTCAGAATAAAACGAACTTGGATTGGTCAAGATCAAATGTCTAGAAGTTTTGAGGGCAGGGCAGCGCAAGGCAAGGAGGGGCAGGGCAGCGTAAGGGAAGGGAGGGCAGCACAAGGCAAGGCAAGGGACAGGACAGCGCAAGGAAGCGCAAGGCAAGGGGGTCAGGGCAGCGTAATGCAGGGCTGTACAAACAAGGTACGGTAGCCCAAGGTAAGGGAGTCAGGGCAGCGTAATGCAGGACGGTGCAAGGCAGGGCAAAGTGGAAAATAGCAGGGCAGCGCATTGCAGTGCAGGGCTGCACAAACAAGGTACGGTAGCGCAAGGCAGGGCAGTGGAAGGAGGGGCAAGGCAAGGAAGATCCAAGTAGCGCAAAGCAGGCAAGGGGATCAGGGCAGCGTAATGCAGGACTGCGCAAGACAGGGCAAGGAGTAGCATGGCAGGGCAGCGCGTTGCAATGCAGGGCTGCACAAACAAGATAAGGCAGCGCAAGGCAAGGCAGTGGAAGGAGGGGCAAGGCAAGGAAGAGCATTGCAGCTCAAAGTGTTATTTCCATTGTTAAAAGGAAGACAAACGCCTCTGTCGATCAGCAAAAGTGTGAAGGTCTGAAAAACCAAAACGTGATCGAACAAAAAAAGAAACCTAGAGATTTACAAAAACAAGCGCAATTATACACTAGTTGACAGAAATAAAAGCAAAATCTCGATTTTCTATGTTAGGCTACTATTTTATTGGGTCTTTTTTGAAAAAGCTTTGATCTCGAATAAGTAACGAATCGAGACATAGTGATTTCTAATACGTTCGTCCAAATATCAATCATTGGTGTCAGAGGTTTACCTATTTAATCTGTGTCTAAAAAGCAATTTACATTCTCTGAAGGAAGTCTTCAGCAGCGTGTGAAATTGCTCGAGGAAGCTGCAAAGAAATGCGGGTTTGCCTACGAAACAATTTGAGGGAAACCTTTCATTTTATTGTAAGTCGTTTTCAACTTCTATGGGCGCCATGTTTAACAGATCGCCAGACGTTATGTTTACGAAATCAATTGGAACTTCAGAATAAAACGAACTTGGATTGGTCAAGATCAAATGTCTAGAAGTTTTGAGGGCAGGGCAGCGCAAGGCAAGGAGGGGCAGGGCAGCGTAAGGGAAGGGAGGGCAGCACAAGGCAAGGCAAGGGACAGGACAGCGCAAGGAAGCGCAAGGCAAGGGGGTCAGGGCAGCGTAATGCAGGGCTGTACAAACAAGGTACGGTAGCCCAAGGTAAGGGAGTCAGGGCAGCGTAATGCAGGACGGTGCAAGGCAGGGCAAAGTGGAAAATAGCAGGGCAGCGCATTGCAGTGCAGGGCTGCACAAACAAGGTACGGTAGCGCAAGGCAGGGCAGTGGAAGGAGGGGCAAGGCAAGGAAGATCCAAGTAGCGCAAACAAGGCAAGGAGGGGCAAGGCAAGGAAGAGCATTGTAGCTCAAAGCAAGGCAAGGCAGTGGAAGGCAAGGCAATGGAAGGAGGGGCAAGGCAAGGAAGCACATTGCAACTCAAAGCAAGGCAGACCAGCGCAAAGCAAGGCAGGGCAGAGCAAAGCAGCACATGGAAAGGCAGGGCAGAGCATTCCAAGGCAGGGTAGCCGAAAGAAAGCAGGGAAACGGTAAAAGGGGTAGGGAAGGGGAAGGCAAGGAGCATGGCTGGGCAAAGTTAAGTAGGGCAGCGCAAAGCAAGGCAGGCCAGGGCATTCTAAGGCAGTTTTCTGTTACTAAGCAGTAGAAGGGGGTCAAATATGCAATAGAGGAGTCCCGATTGAAGCGCAGAGTCCCCCAATCTAGCAAAAGCCTCAAGAGTCATTCAGTTTTTTTCGCCGCGAAGTCAATTGAACTATCAACTAAGTTCGAGTGAGTGAAGCAAATTTTTTCAGTGAAGTTAATCATTTCTATTGAATTACTGGATTACAGTTGAATGCTCAGTGACAGTGGTGCGCGACACTCACACGCATACTTGCCTAACTGGGCCCACTCTTTTACATTTCAAGGAATTGAAGTGGGCTATGACATGAAACAGCCTTTTTTCAGAGGATCCTTAAAAGATCCACAAAATGTTTCAACTCTTTTTGGGTCAAAAGATTAGCTGGGTTTTTTGTCACTTTTGCGAACTAATTCAAGCTTTTGAAACAATGCAAATGATTTAAAGTTCAGCCATTTTTTTAGCTTGATGTTTGTCAGAAGCATTTGACTAGATGACTTTCAGTTAATCAATTCATGCATGAACGTAATTTAGTAAATTTGATTCTTCTGAGTAGCTTGCAACAAGATACAAATTTCATGAATATAATCAAAATCCTGAAAAAACCCAAAATCGGTCAATTTCGTTTCAACTATAAACATTGAGTTTACGGTTAATCATTTCAAGCTAATAATTTTCAAGCTAATAATTTTCAAGCTAGAAATGCATGGGTTAACTTTCAACGAAGCAATTTCATCTAACAAACTGAATTGGTTCAAAAAGATCGCTTGAAATTGACTCGTTTTTTTTTTCAAATAATTAATTGGCTTGCTTTGAAGAACACTTGGAAAGCCTATTTTAAAAATTATAAGTTTTTTTGCGAACTGTAGGTAGGTATCGAGGTAAGTTCAGATAATTAAATGTTTTATAGCTGGATGGCAGATTTCACAGAGTAGTTTTTTGCCAACTTTTTTTTCGAAGTCCATTCAGGCCGCCATACCTACAAAGCAACCAAAATGTCTAAAAACCATTCAAATAGCAATGTTTTGTAGTTAAATTGAACATTTGCAGTCAATTTGGTTCACGAGTGCTTTTCTTGAAAAAATTGTTTTGTTTTAATCTTGCGATAGGCAAAGGTTTTGCAACGGGGTATTAGAAATTTTTAAAATTATTTTGGTAACAGATGGTCAAATGGTAGTTTTTTACCGCTGTATTAATTGCATGGTTGGAGTAGTGTGTATTAACTGCATATGTACCTTGGGTGAACATTAGGAGTTGCAAAGTAATTTTTATCTGTGCTGAAAAACTTTGGTAAATTTTCGGCAGATTTTCGACACCGAGGTCGGTCGGCTTTAATTCTGTGTGCTTATTTTCTCTTTTTTTTGTATTTTTAACTTTTGTAGGTATTTTTTTGTATTTTTAACTTTTTTAGGTATTAATTGAGAATGGTTGAAATGTAACGAGATTTATGCAAAGTGTAAATCAATCTCCAAAGCCCGCCATAATAAAATTTGCTAATTAAACATGAAAAATTGTTAAGATTTTTTTGGCTTTTTATGTCGTTTATTAACTTTGGTGGCAGCATTTGTTATTATGGTTTGCAACTTTTCTTAATAAAAGTATAAAAAAATCGCAATTTAGATTTTTGGGCTTAGCAAAATAATTGAACCCTCTGATCTTTAATTCAATTGTGTATCAGGTTAGAGATTCCAAGTATATATTACCGCTCTGTAGCTTTATAAATTATATACAGCTTTTATCTGTATTTCAGTCGATTAGTTTGTCATGTTAAATTGCAAATAGTGCGAAGTTTTGCTTCGTCTCTGTTGTTAAAATTTCGAAATGTGCAGGTATTTTAGTTCCAAGATATTGTCATTCAGTTCAAGATTTTTTTTTTCATTTAAAAAACAATTTTTTGAAGTTTTGTTCAGTTTTGTCTGTTCATCTGCAAGTTGAGATCGTCATTCCCTTCTGTGATGAATTGATGCAACACGAAAAATGAAAGAGATCTTTTGTTAAACCTGTTTTTTTTGTCTTAACAACACTAGGTCCGGTTCATATGAACATACAATCTCTAAATGAGTGCTATGAACTCAGAGCTATGCGCGATGAGTTCATATATAATCGAACAGCTGGCAATTGTAACAAACGCGACCACGCCTCACCCAAAGTGTCTTATGATAAGTTAGCAAACAGTTTAATCAGCTATTAGGCATCTGAATCAAGCTTGGAACTGTGTAAGAAACTGTTTGACCAGTATTTTTTCTTTGATACTCCTAGTCAAACAAACTGACTGATAAACGAAACTGCGATCCGTATAAGGCTTCCATTTAAATTCAAAAACTCATTTATTAAGCTTCGAGTTGAGTAAGTTCAGTTTAGTACCGATATCAGGGCCTAGATATACCACATTTGTGCGTATCCGAATCGTTTTAACTATCATAAAACCAGTTTTCTGTGACCGTAACGCTTTTCAGTTGTTTTTCAAGCAGAAAGTTTTTCAGGATGCAGATTGTTTCAAACGAAGCGGAAAGGTTGGTAACAGTCATTTAATTCTTTTAAACTTATGTTGATGTAGAAACTGGTCCTAGATCTTGTTGCCATATTTGTTATTGCTAAATTATTCCGCACGAAATAATAGTTCACAATCTTTCTACTCTTTTTTCAACGTTTTTTTTTCTCTACGCTCCTAAAGGAATAATAATAGGGTTTTTACTTAAATCAGGAGAAGATATTGTAATTGTGCTGATACTTTGTTTTCATAAAAGAGTATTTTGTTTTTGTATCGGATAAAAAACAGGCAATCAATATTTGCACTTTATTCTTGGGCAAACGTCCAAATTTTAAGAACAATCGAAGTTCATAGATCCAAAGTAGCCTCTGAGTTTTCGGTTGGAAATTTCATGAATTTGGTTTTGGGAAGGCTTCATACCCTTTCTTAAATGTTTTCAACATATTTTCATGAAAATGTGGCCTCTTATAAATATACGCTTTGTTTTAAAAAATGTCGAAAGGGAGTTCGGCTAGATTTTATGCGCTTTTTGTACCAAAAGTCAAATTCCAATGAATGAGAATTCGGTTTATAAGAAGTTTCGAAATTAGGTGCTCGCAAAAGGAAAAATTCCAGCTTAATTTTTACAGGCAAGGTAGGGAAACTGGTTTGTGATTCATTTGATTTTGCATTTCTTTATTAAATCTTCATTACAATATGAACGGACATTGCTTGTCATCAGATGACCGAAATGGGTTTGGAGTTCGAAAAATTGAATCGGCTTTGCCCGTTTCGTCAAGAGCTATTAACACTCACAATCCAATTCGAAACATCGTCGATCAAATGAAAATCGAGCCTAATGTCGAAAAATCATTCATTCCTTTATCAATTGGAGACCCTACAACGTTTGGAAATCCCCCGATAAGTTGCGCTACCAAAGAAGCTCTTTTTGATGTGATTGAAAAGGGAAATTGTCATGGCTATGGGCCGTCAGATGGGTTTCTGGTAGCAAAAGAAGCCATAGCTCAGTTTTATTCCACTGACCTTTACCCTTTATCAACCAATGACATAATATTGACATCATCATGCAGCGGTGCAATCGATTTGGCAATCGGAGCAGTGGCCGAAGAAGGAACGAACATTTTGATTCCGAGACCAGGTTTCAGTATTTACGAATCACTGACAACTTTGTATAATGTGAACGTGAAACATTATAACTTGAAACCAGACAAAAACTGGCAGATTGACCTGGAGCATCTTGAAGCACTGGTGGATCCTAAAACATCGGCAATCGTTGTCTGCAATCCTTCAAATCCCTGTGGTTCTGTATGGTCACGGAGCCATATGATTTCAATTTTGAAAATTGCAGAAAGGCATAGTTTGCCTATAATTGCTGATGAAATTTATGCTGATATGGTTTTCAGTGATGTCGATAACGCATCATTTGGCCAATTATCTAAAAATGTCCCCATTCTTATAATGGGAGGAATGGCAAAACGTTGGTTGGTTCTAGGCTGGAGAATTAGTTGGATTTTGATTCAAGATCGTCACAACAAGCTAACCTATGTGCGCAAAGGGTTGAAAAATCTATCGCAGCGTATTCTAGGACCCAACTCGCTTTGTCAATTGGCTATTCCAAAAATACTAAGCGAAACTTCAGATGTATTTTATGAGAATGTAATGAGGAAGCCATGGAAATGAATTTTAAAGTCCAATTGTTATTACAACATTAATACGACTTCTTATTGACTTCCAGTAGCTTCCTTTTGACGTGGCGTTCAAAGAAAAATGCCCATGTTAACTCAAATGGAAACCGCTCGTCTTCGAGAATGGAACTGGTGTTAATTAAAAATCCTCAATAGAGTACAAACAACTTGCCTATGAATCAGTTGCTTTACCTTCGTCAAAATTTTGCAATCGTAAGAGTTAATTGACATTGAAAGAGCTTTCAGGTGATGTATTTTTTTCGATGAAATTCGATGTTTTTTGAAATGCGGGAAAGAAATTTAGTTTTTTGGCGCGCTCTCAAGTGATGATATTGTAAACGAATTGCATATTTCTACAATTGATTGCATATTGGCCTCACCTGAAAATTATTTACTATTATATAATAATAGTTAATTGTTTGCCGTGACTTATTTTAGGTGCCAATGGAGTAGTGACTTTTCTTAGTGCCTTTCGTTGGTCGTGTTTTAAATTGAGAAAACAAAAAAAGAAACCTAGAGATTTACAAAAACAAGAGCAATTATACACTAGTTGACAGAAATAAAAGCAAAATCTCGATTTTCTATGTTAGGCTACTATTTTATTGGGTCATTTTTGAAAAAGCTTTGAACTCGAATAAGTAACGAATCGAGACATAGTGATTTCTAATACGTTCGTCCAAATATCAATCATTGGTGTCAGAGGTTTACCTATTTAATCTGTGTCTAAAAAGCAATTTACATTCTCTGAAGGAAATCTTCAGCAGCGTGTGAAATTGCTCGAGGAAGCTGCAAAGAAATGCGGGTTTGCCTACGAAACAATTTGAGGGAAACCTTTCATTTTATTGTAAGTCGTTTTCAATTTCTATGGGCGCCATGTTTAACAGATCGCCAGACGTTATGTTTACGAAATCAATTGGAGCTTCAGAATAAAACGAACTTGGATTGGTCAAGATCAAATGTCTAGAAGTTTTGAGGGCAGGGCAGCGCAAGGCAAGGAGGGGCAGGGCAGCGTAAGGGAAGGGAGGGCAGCACAAGGCAAGGCAAGGGGTAGGACAGCGCAAGGAAGCGCAAGGCAAGGGGGTCAGGGCAGCGTAATGCAGGGCTGTACAAACAAGGTACGGTAGCCCAAGGTAAGGGAGTCAGGGCAGCGTAATGCAGGACGGTGCAAGGCAGGGCAAAGTGGAAAATAGCAGGGCAGCGCATTGCAGTGCAGGGCTGCACAAACAAGGTACGGTAGCGCAAGGCAGGGCAGTGGAAGGAGGGGCAAGGCAAGGAAGATCCAAGTAGCGCAAAGCAAGGCAAGGGGATCAGGGCAGCGTAATGCAGGACTGCGCCAGACAGGACAAGGAGTAGCATGGCAGGGCAGCGCGTTGCAGTGCAGGGCTGGACAAACAAGGTACGGTAGTCCAAGGCAAGGGAATCAGGGCAGCGTAATGCAGGACGGTGCAAGGCAGGGCAAAGTGGAAAATAGCAGGGCAGCGCATTGCAGTGCAGGGCTGCACAAACAAGGTACGGTAGCGCAAGGCAGGGAGGTGGAAGGAGGGGCAAGGCAAGGAAGATCCAAGTAGCGCAAAGCAAGGCAAGGGGATCAGGGCAGCGTAATGCAGGACTGTGCCAGACAGGACAAGGAGTAGCATGGCAGGGCAGCGCGTTGCAGTGCAGGGCTGGACAAACAAGGCAAGGCGGTGGAAGGAGGGGCAAGGCAAGGAAGAGCATTGTAGCTCAAAGCAAGGCAAGGCAGTGGAAGGCAAGGCAATGGAAGGAGGGGCAAGGCAAGGAAGCACATTGCAATTCAAAGCAAGGCAGGGCAGAGCAAAGCAGCACATGGAAAGGCAGGGCAGAGCATTCCAAGGCAGGGTAGCCGAAGGAAAGCAGGGAAACGGTAAAAGGGGTAGGGAAGGGGAAGGCAAGGAGCATGGCTGGGCAAAGTTAAGTAGGGCAGCGCAAAGCAAGGCAGGCCAGGGCATTCTAAAGCAGTTTTCTGTTACTAAGCAGTAGAAGGGGGTCAAATATGCAATAGAGGAGTCCCGATTGAAGCGCAGAGTCCCCCAATCTAGCAAAAGCCTCAAGAGTCATTCAGTTTTTTTCGCCGCGAAGTCAATTGAACTATCAACTAAGTTCGAGTGAGTGAAGCAAATTTTTTCAGTGAAGTTAATCATTTCTATTGAATTACTGGATTACAGTTGAATGCTCAGTGACAGTGGTGCGCGACACTCACACGCATACTTGCCTAACTGGGCCCACTCTTTTACATTTCAAGGAATTGAAGTGGGCTATGACGTGAAACAGCCTTTTTTCAGAGGATCCTTAAAAGATCCACAAAATGTTTCAACTCTTTTTGGGTCAAAAGATTAGCTGGGTTTTTTGTCACTTTTGCGAACTAATTCAAGCTTTTGAAACAATGCAAATGATTCAAAGTTCAGCCATTTTTTTAGCTTGATGTTTGTCAGAAGCATTTGACTAGATGACTTTCAGTTAATCAATTCATGCATGAACGTAATTTAGTAAATTTGATTCTTCTGAGTAGCTTGCAACAAGATACAAATTTCATGAATATAATCAAAATCCTGAAAAAACCCAAAATCGGTCAATTTCGTTTCAACTATAAACATTGAGTTTACGGTTAATCATTTCAAGCTAATAATTTTCAAGCTAATAATTTTCAAGCTAGAAATGCATGGGTTAACTTTCAACGAAGCAATTTCATCTAACAAACTGAATTGGTTCAAAAAGATCGCTTGAAATTGACTCGTTTTTTTTTCAAATAATTAATTGGCTTGCTTTGAAGAACACTTGGAAAGCCTATTTTAAAAATTATAAGTTTTTTTGCGAACTGTAGGTAGGTATCGAGGTAAGTTCAGATAATTAAATGTTTTATAGCTGGATGGCAGATTTCACAGAGTAGTTTTTTGCCAACTTTTTTTTCGAAGTCCATTCAGGCCGCCAAATAACTTAGAAACTTGTTTCAGTAATTTTTAAGTTCAAGCACGCCTATTAATGCGGTCAGGTCAACTTTTAATTGCACGCTTGAATAGCTGACTTCAGAAAATATTTTTCCTTTTGCGAGGGAAATCAAGTCGTCAAAAGTTTTTCAAAATTTTCATCTTTTTACCATGATAGTTCGTATCCAAAATCTTAAGTTTTTGTAAGCCATTGCAAGCTTTATAATTAGCTTTGTATGTTCAATTAGCTTCATTAGCGTGTTACGAAATTTTAATTTTTATGTGAACCTGATCAAGCCATAATGATACGTTAAAGTCAGATGAATGCGTTGTTGATTTTTCAATTAAAGTATAATTGAAAATTTTGTTTTGAAATGGGCTCGCTAGTTTGATTTAATTTGATGATAGTTTATTTGCAAATTTACTTTCCTGAAATTTTCACAACGTTGAAATCACTCATTTCAGATAATAGAATTTAATCATTTTCAGACCCCAAGTTGAATTGGAAATGCTTTAGGACCACTGATTGATTTTTTCGTAGAGGAGGCTTGAAGACATTCTCGGTACACATAAAATTTTGCTACCTACAAAGCCACCAAAATGTCTAAAAACCATTCAAATAGCAATGTTTTGTAGTTAAATTGAACATTTGCAGTCAATTTGGTTCACGAGTGCTTTTCTTGAAAAAATTGTTTTGTTTTAATCTTGCGATAGGCAAAGGTTTGCAACGGGGTATTAGAAATTTTTCTAAATTATTTTGGTAACAGATGGTCAAATGGTAGTTTTTTACCGCTGTATTATTTGCATGGTTTGAGTAGAGTGTATTAACTGCATATGTACCTTGGGTGAACATTAGGAGTTGCAAAGTAATTTTTATCTGTGCTGAAAAACTTTGGTAAATTTTCGGCAGATTTTCGACACCGAGGTCGGTCGGCTTTAATTCTGTGTGCTTATTTTCTTTTTTTTTGTATTTTTAACTTTTGTAGGTATTTTTTTGTATTTTTAACTTTTTTAGGTAATAATTGAGAACGGTTGAAATGTAACGAGATTTATGCAAAGTGTAAATCACTCTCTAAAGCCCGCCATAATAAAATTTGCTAATTAAACATGAAAAATTGTTAAGATTTTTTTGGCTTTTTATGTCGTTTATTAACTTTGGTGGCAGCATTTGTTATTATGGTTTGCAACTTTTCTTAATAGAAGTATAAAAAAATCGCAATTTAGATTTTTGGGCTTAGCAAAATAATTGAACCCTCTGATCTTTAATTCAATTGTGTACCAGGTTAGAGATTCCAAGTATATATTACCGCTCTGTAGCTTTATAAATTATATACAGCTTTTATCTGTATTTCAGTCGATTAGTTTGTCATGTTAAATTGCAAGTAGTGCGAAGTTTTGCTTCGTCTCTGTTGTTAAAATTTCGAAATGTGCAGGTATTTTAGTTCCAAGATATCGTCATTCAGTTCAAGATTTTTTTTTTCATTTAAAAAACAATTTTTTGAAGTTTTGTTCAGTTTTGTCTGTTCATCTGCAAGTTGAGATCGTCATTCCCTTCTGTGATGAATTGATGCAACACGAAAAATGAAAGAGATCTTTTGTTAAACCTGTTTTTTTTGTCTTAACAACACTAGGTCCGGTTCATATGAACATACAATCTCTAAATGAGTGCTATGAACTCAGAGCTATGCGCGATGAGTTCATATATAATCGAACAGCTGGCAATTGTAACAAACGCGACCACACCTCACCCAAAGTGTCTTATGATAAGTTAGCAAACAGTTTAATCAGCTATTAGGCATCTGAATCAAGCTTGGAACTGTGTAAGAAACTGTTTGACCAGTATTTTTTCTTTGATACTCCTAGTCAAACAAACTGACTGATAAACGAAACTGCGATCCGTATAAGGCTTCCATTTAAATTCAAAAACTCATTTATTAAGCTTCGAGTTGAGTAAGTTCAGTTTAGTACCGATATCAGGGCCTAGATATACCACATTTGTGCGTATCCGAATCGTTTTAACTATCATAAAACCAGTTTTCTGTGACCGTAACGCTTTTCAGTTGTTTTTCAAGCAGAAAGTTTTTCAGGCTGCAGATTGTTTCAATCGAACCGGAAAGGTTGGTAACAGTCATTTAAATCTCTTAAACTTATGTTGATGTAGAAACTGGTCCTAGATCTTGTTGCCATATTTGTTATTGCTAAATTATTCCGCACGAAATAATAGTTCACAATCTTTCTACTCTTTTTTCAAAGTTTTTTCTCTACGCTCCTAAAGGAATAATAATAGGGCTTTTACTTAAGTCAGGATAAGATATTGTAGTTGTGCTGATAATTTGTTTTTTCATAAAAGAGTATTTCATTTTTGTATCGGATAAAAAACAGGCAATCAATATTTGCACTTTGTTCTTGGGCAAACGTCCAAATTTTAAGAACAATCGAAGTTCATAGATCCAAAGTAGCCTCTGAGTTTTCGGTTGGAAATTTCATGAATTTGGTTTTGGGAAGGCTTCATACCCTTTCTTAAATGTTTTCAACATATTTTCATGAAAGTATGGCCTCTTATAAATATACGCTTTGTTTTAAAAAAAAAGTCGAAAGGGAGTTCGGCTAGATTTTATCCGCTTTTTCTACCAAAAGTCAAATTCCAATGAATGAGAATTCGATTTATAAGAAGTTTCGAAATTAGGTGCTCATAAAAGGAAAAGTTCCAGCTTAATTTTTACAGGCAAGGTAGGGAAACTGGTTTGTGATTCGTTTGATTTTGCATTTCTTTATTAAATCTTCATTCGAATATGAACGGACATTGCTTGTCATCAGATGACCGAAATGGTTTTGGAGTTCGAAAAATTGAATCGGCTTTGCCCGTTTCGTCAAGAGCTATTAACACTCACAATCCAATTCGAAACATCGTCGATCAAATGAAAATCGAACCCAATGTCGAAAAATCATTCATTCCTTTATCAATTGGAGACCCTACAACGTTTGGAAATCTCCCGATAAGTTGCGCTACCAAAGAAGCTCTTTTTGATGTGATTGAAAAGGGAAATTGTCATGGCTATGGGCCGTCAGATGGGTTTCTGGTAGCAAAAGAAGCCATAGCTCAGTTTTATTCCACTGACCTTTACCCTTTATCAACCAATGACATAATACTGACATCATCATGCAGCGGTGCAATCGATTTGGCAATCGGAGCAGTGGCCGAAGAAGGAACGAACATTTTGATTCCGAGACCAGGTTTCAGTATTTACGAATCACTGACAACTTTGTATAATGTGAACGTGAAACATTATAACTTGAAACCAGACAAAAACTGGCAGATTGACCTGGAGCATCTTGAAGCACTGGTGGATCCTAAAACATCGGCAATCGTTGTCTGCAATCCTTCAAATCCCTGTGGTTCTGTATGGTCACGGAGCCATATGATTTCAATTTTGAAAATTGCAGAAAGGCATAGTTTGCCTATAATTGCTGATGAAATTTATGCTGATATGGTTTTCAGTGATGTCGATTACGCATCGTTTGGCCAATTATCTAAAAATGTCCCCATTCTTATAATGGGAGGAATGGCAAAACGTTGGTTGGTTCCTGGCTGGAGAATTGGTTGGATTTTGATTCAAGATCGTCACAACAAGCTAACCTATGTGCGCAAAGGGTTGAAAAATCTATCGCAGCGTATTCTAGGACCCAACTCGCTTTGTCAATTGGCTATTCCAAAAATACTAAACGAAACTTCAGATGTATTTTATGAGAATGTCATGAGGAAGCTGGAAAAAAATGCTAAATTCGCCTTCAAGATTTTGTCAAAATGTCCAGGCTTGAAACCAGTGATGCCATCAGGTGCAATGTACATGATGGTTGGCATTGACACTTCTAAATTTGGCAAAGATATGAACGACCTGACATTCACACAGGACCTGGTCAAAGAACAAAGTGTGTTTTGTCTTCCTGGATCCTGTTTCCACTACCCAAATTACTTCAGAATAGTGCTGACTGTGCCACCCGAAATGATGGAAGAGGCTTGTGTGCGAATAGACGAGTTTTGCAGAGATAAACTCGAATGAATAGATCAGAGTGTAGTTTTTAATTGAGAGTTAAAGTCGGGGAAAGTGGGAAGTAGCAATAGGAATAGTCTTGGTGAATACAGTTTTTTATCAATTAATTGATTTGATTTCAGTTTAATTTCTCAAGTTTATCAGTAACGGAGGATAAAATTGTCAAAATTTTGTTGTAAAGACTTATTTGTTAATTTAATTTGGTGGAAGTAGAGGCAAGAACTGACTGGTAATCCAGCATTATAGATTGATAGGTTCTTGCGTTTTGTGACGTGAACCGTTGATCTGGTCACCGTTTAATTTTGAAAAAGCGAGAGATCAACGACGAAAATAACAAGAAAAAGTAAAGGACTCACTTAAATTCTATTTCCATTAGTCAACATAAAATACTAATATAGGAATTAGTACTAATGTTAAAATACTAATATAGGAAAGTGTTTTTATCCATTGCAAGGAGAAAGTTCAGCCTCGCGCGTTTTTTTTTCAAAGATGGAAAGAATAGATATTACTTTCAGCTCCTCCCTCAAAAATAGACTTAGTAAAGATCTCCGAGCCGATTATTATTCCACGTCACGAATTTACTTGAAGGAATTATGTCATAGGGTGGATATTTTATGGCCTCATTGTATCTGCCTCAGTGACAGCTTGTAATTGATCAAACGTGGTACAAATTAAAACACTATTGGTAATCATTCGGATGCCTAAGAAATCAGTGTTCGGAAAAATGGGTCCGTATTTTTTCTCTATTAAGGTTAAGCTAATTGTAGAGTGGGTGAAATAACTTGACGATATGTTTGTTTCTTTTTTTACGAGATATAAATTTCAGTTTTTCGTTGTCTTTTTTAACAACTTTGTCTTCTGGTGTGTTCAGTTTTCTTCTTTTTTTGGTTTTCCACGCTTAATCAAGTATCACATATAACCTTCGGAATGAGTTGAGTGATATGTCTGATTAAAGCCCTTTAAGTTCTGATTCAAACGACTCAAAATTTTTCAAAAAGTTTAATCAGTGTCAAGAAAAACCGTTCTGAATTTTTAAAATTTTTTACTCTAATCTCGAGCGAGTAAAGGAAGGTATAAGTTCGGATCTTAAAAGAAGGTTTTATACAAGAATTTTTTAACTAGTGAAAAAGTTGACGTACATCAGTAAATTGAGTTTTGAAAGCTTCACTGAGCGCTTTCTTGGCAATAAAGCTTTCAAAAGCGTTCTCATTCAATTTTTCAAGACAACTGTTGTCGAATATGCCTAATTCACTAAAGTCCTACGCGTTCGGTTATTTGTCTCATCAAACCCGCAAAAATGCCTCTGATTAAAACTAATGAAGAAACATGTTTGTAAGTTTTTTTTAGAAATGTGGTCAGAACATTCTGTGCTACTTGCAAAGCAATCAGTTATCCTTGTTGATCCGACCCTTGAAAATGGCGAGGTGTGTTAAGTTTTCTCTTTTTTTTCACGCAAATTCAGGTACCACAAATAATCATTGTACTGTGATTAATCGAATTTAAACGTTTCCAGTCGTAATTCGAACGACATTTGATAATTTTTTAAAAGTTTCGATAAAATTGGGTCTGAAGTTTTGAGTTTCAGTTCAATTTTGGGCGAGTATAGCGATCGAGTAACGGTCGTTATATGAACAGTTATCGTTAATTTAGGCTGAAAAAACTTAATTTTACTGAAAGTAAAGTTAGTATCAGAAGTTTCCTTTAGCACTTTCTTGGAAATAAAGGTTCTCTTAAAAAAATTTTTTGCAAATAATTAGAAAAAGTTTTCGTATTTTGTTTGTCGGTTTTTTGTAGACAAATTTCGCTCATGCCTAGTTCACCTGCGCAGGAACCGACTATCTTTGCTTACATTGGGGTAACTTGCAGTATCAAGTCGGCTGAAATAATGTTTTTTTTTTCGGAAAAGCTAAGTTAGAAAGAAGTTAACACTGTCACTGTTAAACAGTTTGAGGAATGGACATGATCCAATAAAGTCACAGTGAAGACAAGAGTAGGAGGATACTGTGCAAGTGAGAGAAAGTTCCGACCACATTAATAAGTAAAACTAAAAACCTTTTTCTAGAATTTTGTACGATGAGAGGAACAAAACGAAAGATTACGTCATTTCGAAATTAGTCATCTTCGGCTACAGTTTTCTTCGAAAACTGAAATTAGACACAAAAATTGAAAAAATGTTCAGCATTTTTTCCAAAGTTTCGTTGCTTTTTTATTTTTTGGCAAAGAAGCGCTAAATTAAGCTTCAAACTAGTTTTCACGGCAGGAGTAAGAGAGTTACGTGCTATTATAACGCCTATAATAGTCCAAATAATAGCCAGAAATAGTTGGAAATTAAAATAAAAGGCGAAACTTTCAAACCGTTTTTTCTCGAAACCGAGACATCTTTTTCAAATTGTTTTTAAAATCGATCGATCCAGGGTTGAAAGGGATTTAATATGAAAAGTTTTTCAGCCCAGTCTGATAATTGCGCTTGCGATTGACTAACGGTATCAAACGGAACTTATTTAGCAAAGTCACTTGAATCACTAATCTCCGTTCACGTGATCACTTGCCTCAAATTCTTTTAAAAATTTTAAAAACTTTTGGATTACTTGTATAACAGCACACTTTAGAAATCATTTCAATGCTTTTGTTTATGAAGTTTTTTTTATCGAAAATCCGGATGTCTGTTTATTATGTGTCTGCTTAGTCGGCTAAGTTTGTACAGCATTAACTTTACTCCGATTCAATATTTTTTCAACAAAAATTGAAATTAATTTTGACGCCTTTCTGTAATTTTTAATTCCTGTTCAAACTTTGTTTTCTGCTCAACGGGCGTAAAATTCATGGTAGAGGCAGTTTTTTGGGTTGAATTCTTTTTTTTGAGATTTCGTCTCTTTTGTCTGCTAGCTTGCCGTTCTATGTTGGTGAGGCGCACAGACAATTCGGCCAAAGACAATTCAACCAATTTGAAATTCAGACAGTTCAGCCAAAAGTATTCAGACACTTCAGCCTGAGACAGTTCAGCCAATTTTACAAAACGCTAGATTCGAATGAAAAAATTGGAATTTGAGTTATTTCTCGGTTTAAGGTCGCCCGTGGTCGCGCATCGCCGCTTCGCGGCAATAACCGGCTCTAAATTTTGTATAGAGTCTTACCCTCTGTTGGCAAGCTTGCAACACGTTGGCGCGACTGCGGCGGTCACTATTATTTGCTGAATTGTGTGCATACCTTTGGATGAATTGTCTGAGTTTCAAATCGGCTGAGTTGTATTTGGCCGAATTGTCTGGACGCGGTTGGTGATGAATCGTAAGTGGTGCAAAGCTCTGCTTCGCCTCTGTGTTGACTGATTTTGTTTCGAAACAAAGCAAAAAACACCCGAAGGCGAAGTTCCTTGCCGCTTTTAGTGGTCGGAACAATTACGAGTGTGCTTTCATTTCAATTGACGATGGGAATGAAAACTGATTGCGCAGCAGATCATTAATAGTGCGATATAAGTTAAATTAAATGACCTCAATTTAGAAATTGTATGAGAGAATTATATGAAAGTTTCCAAAGCTTATCAATTATTACCAGTTTTGTTGGTTTTGATCATGTTTCCAGCACTTACACTACATTGAATTCAATAAATTTCAATCAAAGAAAGATGTCCTAGACAAGTATAAACTGGATTTTTCGCAGTGCATTAGATGTGGCATAAGTTCTAATTTCAAAATGGGAACTTGGTGAAATTGATTTTAAAATTTATCGACGAATTGCAGTCAAAGTCAATATAACATCCACTTTGTATGTCTGAAAGAAAACCGACATAGTTTTTCGTGAGCCTTAAAAACAGGAAAATGAGTGATTTTCCTCATTCAAAAGCACAATTTTAATTTCAGCCATCTAATGGAAACAGGCTACGAAGGAACCGTAGAAGTTCCTGACTTCCATTTCTTTTTGCTTTTTTGACCTTACAAATTTAAATAATTTTGTTGATCGAAATTTTATTCAGATTTTAATAGAAGTTAATGAAAATGCTCATCTTTGTACATATGTTGAGATGTTTAAAAGGCTAACTTGATGCTACGTCTGAGCTATTTATATGCGTCAACTTGTTAAATTTTTAAATACTTAGCTGCAATGTGCTGTGCACAGGTCGAATAAAGAAGAATTTATTTGGTTGTTAATTTTAGTCATTTTGTTCAAATTTTGATTCGTTTTTTTTTGGAGCCACTCATCACACGTCAATGCAATATTTGGATCTGAAACAGTGTCTGAATGTGGTTGGATATGTTGTTTAGTAGCATTTTTAGTGATCTTAGTTACTACTGAGTAGTTAGTAAATTAGTTCTGCTTCCTTCCATGGAACTCATTTTCACTGTTTAAACATACATGTTTTTGTATATCCGAACAACTTTGTCGTTTTTCACAAGACCAGATCTTAGCGCCGGTCCGGAAGGTGCATATTTTTCAAAACTGTGAGCGGTTTTTTTTGTAAATTACTTCAAGAATTTCTTCGGCGAGAATAGTTTTCATTCACGTTGGGATTTTTATGTTACAATCTAGAGAAAACGCCGAAGCGGCGAGCCGAAAAGTAAAACAATTACTTAACGGGAGACTGTTCTTCAGTAGTATACCCACAAATTTTTAATAATGAATAAATGAAGTGCGCCAGAAAAGTGAATTGTAATTGTAACAACTACAAATGATGTTTTTTGAGTTTTTTTTCAGTTTGCAATGAACTCTTCAGTGGTGTTTTTTTTTAATTAAACGTGAACTCTTCAGTGGTGTTTTTTTTCCAGGTTGCAATGAACTCGTGTACATATTTAGGATTTCTGCTTGTCGTTCACTTATACACTACCAGTCTGCTGTGTCCGAGCTGTTCAGCACTACCAGAGTCCACGAAGTGGTCTGTTCACCATACACTCAATTCCCAGAAAACTTCTTCCATCGATGTTAGTCAATTTGTAACTGTATCTGTACCATGTTTATGAGTACCATGGTCCGCAAAAATCATAAATATTGTAATTTTATGATCGCGGTGACCGAAATTTGCGGCATGTAGATAGACAAGCGTTTCGTGTTACCATTCTCTTTATATGTAATGATACTCACCTAGCATTTTTTGTTAAACTCGGTTATTTTTTTTTTCAATGCCTCAAAGCTTAACTGATATGAACTTATAGATAGACAAGTTATTATTGTGGTACCCTACCCAGTATAATCCAGTTTAAATAACGTTTTAGTGGTTTCAAGCAACGCTATGGAATGGAACTACGATTAGAGCGACACTTAAATGCTCCCCCTCTGTAGCAGACGAAGAGCAGTCCTTCAACATAGCCATACGATGGATGATCCGCAACACTCCTTGTTCCGGCAACTATGCCATGCTGTCTGAGAACTATACTCGAGCACTCATAGACAATCCGAGGAACTTGATCTCGAACGAACCGTACGTGTCCTATGCAAGTGAAGCCGAGGAATCGAAGTTCTTCGAAGCCAGCTGCAATCAGGATATAGATTTGCTCAATGGAGATGGTAAGTTTGGCCACTCACTTGAGAATCAAGAAGTCTATTGAACGAGTCATCGTAGATGAGTTTTGTGAATCTCGTCGCCCCTCCATTGCCCAAGAAGTTCTTGGTTGGGGAATCCCTCATGCGCGAAAATTTTGTCAACCAATCAGATCTCAGTATTCAAAAATTCGAGAAAGAAATAGGCGTTAAATTCGTCATTTTTGGACAGTTTAAAGTTTGCTTTGTTGGTTTGCTAAGAGTTTTCGTGCTTCAGAATAGACTCTTCTCGGATGTATCTGCAGACGTTTTTCTGGGTTCAACCTTATGAACGTGCCTGCGGGCATCACATGAATGCTTAAATTTATTTTTTCATGTTTCTGAAAGTTATAGAAAAAAGTAATGATAATATTACGGGTGTTTTGCTTCTTGATTTTCACAGAGATTTATATCGATTGTTTTATACGTTACTGTGTATAGTTAGATTGTTTTAGCTTGGTTGTGGTTTCGTTTCATCTTAGGATCAAGAAATTCTAAAGGCTTAAAACAATGATTTTCGTTTTCAGTAGGGTTGGTTCCTTTGCACCGTCAAATGGTTGGATCAGCTAACCCGAAAACATTGAAACAGAGTTTCAGCAACACGGGCCTAGACGACTCAAAGCAGCAGCCAGATGAAGTCAATGTCCTCGGACAAACATGGGTCTCGGGTCCCACGATTTTCATAGTCGAAATCTACGTCACTCAAATTCCCAACAGCAAAGATCGAAACTTGGAGGCGGAGATCACGTTAGACGTCGCGTTTAAAAGCAAGTCGGGATATCTTTCAGCAATTGACAAGCCGCTTTTGAAGTTTTACGCTATAATGTGTGCAGTTTACTCTCTTTATGCCCTGGTATGGACTGTGTTTTGTTTCTCACATTGGCGAGATTTACTTAGACTGCAATACTGGATTTGTGCTGTTATCGGTCTCGGGTTGATCGAAAAAGCGGTGTTTCTAGCTGAATTTGATCACATGAATAAACATGGCGATATATTACAAGGCGTGGAATTATTTGCCGAAGTCGTGTCGATTATCAAACGAACCCTAGCTCGGGTTTTGGTGCTCATTGTAAGTTTGGGTTACGGAATTGTGCGACCGAGACTCGGTGACATCATGAGGAAAGTCCTAGTGTTGGCATTTTTGTTTTTAATTTTGGCGTCAGTCGAGGCAGCCATGAGAATATACAGATCTAGAGATAGTCGCACCGATTCAGAAATGCTGGCTGTTATTTGCCTGTCCACAATAGATGCAGTTATTTGTTTCTGGGTCGCATCCAGTTTGTTGCAGACATTGAAGAATCTGAAGTTGAGACGAAATGTGGTGAAGCTGACTTTGTACAGACATTTCTTCAACATCTTAGTTCTCTGTATAATGGCCGCATTGGCCTACTTAATTTGGTCCTTCGTCAATATAAAGGTAAAAATTAAGTTTTTGACACTTAATGTAATATGGAAATCACTGTCAGTCATTTCAACCGAAACTAGATATTGTTATATTTTGATAGGTTATGGAAAATATTTGCACTGATTGGATTGATTTATAATTTGATTGGTTTTAAAAGTTTGCACATTTTAATCTCAAATGATATTAGCAAGTTTGTTCGCCCTTACTTTGAGACTTGATTTTTCAGATGCAGGTTAGTTGAGATTTTATTAACAAAGATACGTGTTGTAATTACGGGGAGTGGGATCATCGGATGAATAGCAGGTTATCATGAAGAATAGCTTGGAATTGCCGATGACGTTTTTTTTGTAATTCGGCAAATGGCACAAATCGCAGTTGGCGTTGCAAGTGCTCCTTAATTTGACTAGGTTCAGTTTTACGGATAACGATGCAATTACGCAACCAAACGCTTGTGCTGTTTTACGAATTCACTTTCAAGCTAAATTCTCAAAATTGCCAAATTTCAGTACCAGTGTAGCTGATTTTGGTAAATACCACTCTTTACGTTATTGGCTGGTATTTAGCTGACAGTAAGCGCACATAGCGCAGCTGGTAATGCAGTTAATTACAAATCTGTAGGTGTTGTTGTTTGGAGATGCGCTTACGAGGGGTCGTTTCAATTGCAGTTTTTTTTTCAAGTTCTTCACAATCGAAGATTGTGGAGATAGATTTATCCTTTCATCTCTTCCGTCAAACAACTGTGGCTTTCCAAGGGTTCGCTAAGAGCGAAAAGCCCTCCTTCTGACAGTACTGAGTAAAACCCGTTCTAGGGGGGTAGTTGTTTTTACGGTGAACTGAGTAAAACTCCGGACCCGTTTCAAGAGCGCACTTTTTATTTAGTGCGGATAACCGAGAAAACCTCCTCGTGTTCTCTGTTATGTTGGTAAGCTGAGTCATTTTGTGATTGCAACAGTTTCTCAAGCTATAGAGATGTTGGCTTGGACGGACACTTAAAGAGATGGATGTCATGCGGAATAGTTTATGATTTTGGCCGATTTTTTCTGATGTTTTTGTCCAACCTCGACAGATAGCTTTTTATTTGTGTGCTGTATTCACAGCGGAGTTGAGCATAAGTACGTCGTGAACTTCTGGGAAGGCTGATTTTTTCCCGAAGCTATTTATAGAACTTGAGAGCCTATCAGTTTTGAGGGATTTTTTTGAGTAAAGTAGTTTTTCACCCCATTCGAATGAAATCTTAAGAGCGACTTTGTATTGATTTGGTGCAGCAGCCAGTTAGAAATTGTTTGCTTAACTTTGCTGGCAGTATTTGAGTTTCACAATGAAGGTGTTCAATTGAATTCATTTTTGTGCTTGTTGCCAGCTTTAATTCTAAGTGCTGTGTTTTGTCGAGTTTGTAGATTTTTCAACAAGTTTTTTTTACTGAAGATTTCCAGACAGGAGCTGCGTAATTCAGAACATTACCCTCAACGGCCTTTTGTAAGAAAAAGAGGTTTTTTGCTGCACCTCCTGTTTGTGCCTGAGAATTTGCTCAGTAATTTCTTGCGTGTTTGGAGTTTTTTGTCCCTGTTCAAATGCGTTCAGTAAAATTAAAGAGGCTATCAAAGTTGACTTCTGGAATCTTAGGCATTTGGACTTAATGTATTGGGTTATAATGATGGCTGCAGGAGACTTGTCTGAAGATAGTTTAAAAGTGCATTTTTGAAGCCAAATATTTAGAGTACGTTGGTAGGGCCGTACCTAGTTCAAGATCAGAGGCGTAAGGAGCTGTGATCGTGATAAAATTTTTTATCTGCTTATGTTGCTACCGTGATGTTTTCGGCAGATGGAAGGGGCAATGATGACATAAGTATATTGAACAAAATAGGCGACAAGACAACTTCTTGAGGGACACCGTGTTTCATTTGTCGCATTCTTGATTTTTAGCTCCTAAATTCAACATGAGTTGCCGTGCTGTGTAGATATGATGTGATCCGTCTTTTTATTTTGTTTGGGAGGTACGAATTTTCAAGATCATGCAGCACGATACCGTGATCCACTTTACCTAATGCTGCAGTCAGATCTAATACAACTTAGAGTATCCTGTATGGATGACATGGCTGGTTAGTTCCGTTTTTGTCAGTGGCTCTGCAGTGTAAATCATGTCTGTTGACATGTGTTTTCTGAATTTGTGGTGGGGATCTGTTATTACGATATGTTTGAAATCATACGGCAAGTTTTTTTCAATCAGTTTCGCTTCTGGAGATAAGAGTACTATGGGTTAGTAGCTTTTTTCCGGGTTTTATTAAGAGAAAAGTCGACTGATTTTCCAGTTTTGCGGATTGATTGAAAAACTGGTATTATTGTAACTGGTAAGTTAGTTTTATTGGTTCTCTTAGGAAATCGATACTTTTTCTTTCCGAAATTGGTTTGGAGCGATAATCACTAACAAAATAACGGAGGGATAGATCACTACTAATTTTCTGGCTCAAATCGTAAATGAATCTCCAGCCAAATGAAAAACTGCATATGGACCTGTTTTCAAGTGTAAATTGCAGAGGTGTATATTTAGGTCCGGCATTTGGTATATGAATTTGAAAAGTGGGTCTTTAATGTTTGTAAGTTGGTGTTATTGTTTTTGCGGTTTTCCTTTGATCTCGTCTGAAGCCGTTTTTGTTAACGCTGAGTCGAGTCTACTAGATATTCTTGTTTTGTAGCTGCCGGACTGTTTCAAAGACTGGCAGGAATTGTGGGTGGACACTGCTTACTGGCACATCCTCTTCTCAGTCGTCCTCTTCGGAATCATTATCCTCTGGAGGCCCAGTCAGAACAACCAGCGATATGCGTTCTCACCGCTAATGGACAAGCCTGATGATGCACTCAGTGATGACGAGGACTACCTGACGTCAGGGGGTCTGATTGGTCTCACGGGTACGGAGTCGGGAGAGGGACAGAAACAGGCGCATATCCGCTCTATCTATAAGGTATTTTAGTACGACCATCATTAGTTTTTTTAATAAAAATTGCTTAATTGCAATTTGTCAAATAAACCATTTTTCATTATCGAACCTTGTCGCTTCGCTTCACCAAAGCCATATGAAGTTTATTTATGAGTTTTCATGAAGTATTTAGTCATATTTCTCGATAGTTCTCATAAATGCATATCACTGCATGGCTGAGATAACTGGTAGCAAGCAAACCACCCCAAATATTCATTCAGATCTAGCCATTGAAAGACAAAATGAAATGTTTTGGATAATTTTCTGAAACTGATTCTTCAGGTTATATACAACAATTTTTATCTGATCCTTGCATGATAAGTTCAATGCACGGATCAGATAAATTTTTTTCAAATTTTACTGTTTTGTTGTAGAGTAGTTACAACGCGGCTCTGGCCAATAAGAACAAATCAGAGGAGGCGAATGAGGACGAGAACCTGAAGTGGGTGGAGGAACACATCCCCACCTCCGGATTCGACTCGGCCATAGACCCAGCCACCACTCTGGACTCGGACGAGGAGGAAAAGCTGAAGACCCAGCAGACTATCGGCAAAATGCTTTGAGGACACTACGATTGATATTGTCACAATCACGAATTGGAGTGAGACAATAAAGGAAAAAAGAATCAAAGTTTGAATAAAAATAAGCGTGGATCGAAACCAAAATCAAAAGTAAAACTTCATAAAACAAACTTAAATCTTAATGAAGATGAAAAAAATTGCCTACGTATTTTGCGCATTATAGAAGATTCCTGTATAAGACGTCATGGTATCTTTTTGTTTCATTTTTGTCACTCCTTTCCCGCGACTTATGAAACTTAGCTGTTTGCTTGTAATAGTCGATGTTTTGAAGTCATGCGAAACAAGTTTCATCAAATTTTTATTTGAGATTTTTTTCCGAATAGATAACGCCGATGGCCTCAATCAATTCAAGGTCAGACATTGTTGTCATCTTTTTAATTTAAGTAACAGCCTTTTTTTATTTATTAGAAGGTTGAAAGGATGAAAGGTTCGTTTTGTGCACTATTGTACTTGATTTCACTTCGCAGGCGGTTTGTAAATTTTGACTTTTCATATTTGAAAAACTTATGATCATTGTAATGTTAATCTACGAATTTCAAAATATATAATTGTACATTTGGTTGGGTGCCTTAAACTTGTCTTTGATTTTGTATATAATTTGATATTGGCCTAACTGCGAATTTTATTTTGAGATAATCGTAGACAGGGGTAGTCGGTGATCAGCACGAATATTCTGATCACAATTAGCACAGTATATCATTCTGATCACGGTAATCAATTCAAAAAAATTGAATTGAAATCTGAGCGATTTGAAATGAGCTCCAAATTAAATAATGTTAGCGAAGATTTGGTTTAAAAAGTTTGCTGAAAACTTGGAAGCAGGTAATTTAGTATTAAACGCATTTGCAATCTTCTGCTGCAAAAATTTAAAAAACGGAAACCGAATTATACTAGTTATTTTTCTCAAAACTCCCTCGGGAAAAATTTTATGTGCACATTGCACCTCAAAATTAGAATATTCTGACGCCAAAGGGAAAAGTTCAGGGTGAGGTCAATGGAAACAGTCGGCCAACGTTGGATTTCGTAAAGTAGTACCAAAGGGGATCAAATCTCCCATAGATACTCATCGCTGAAGCCGAGAAAAATCTTAGAACGTCGATGATTCATCCAATGACAATTGTCCATTTTATCCATGTTTATTGTTCCGACTTTCGATACGAAAGTAACGGAATATTTGTGCTCGGGGTGGGTTTTTTTTTCTTCAGACAAATTTCACTTTTTAACTAGCCATTTTTGACGGAGTTTTTTTACATCATTCGAAAGCTATTGTTGTCCTGAGCTTAAATTTGAAAAGATATTTCACCTGTGATCATTTTTCGTAGAGTTATGAGGGTTCAAAGATTGCCATTTTGGCCAATTTGGGACAATTAACGCGCGACATATTTCGCGCTATTAACGCGTAAGCGAGATTGAATCCGTCTTGGAAATCGTTCCAAATTGGTCCAAGGAAGCTTATATGCCATAATTGATTTGTTAATAGGAGCAAAATCTATCACTTTGTACTTAATATGGCATATGGGGGGATGTTTTCACAAAAAATCTCAAACTTTTTAGAAAAAAAAAATTAATTTTATTTAATTACATTTAAATTTTTCATTTTATTACTGCTCCATAGACCTTAAAAGGCAGTCGGAACATTCAGGGCTTCGCCCTGATACGAGCAGTCTTGTATTGATTTGGTGCGGATTTTTCGACTTCTGAGAATAGTTCAAGAACGAAAACTCCCGAGTGTGGATATCACAACCTACAGATTTTTTGCTCACTAAATTTATCTTAACAATCTCCCTCTTTCAGCTTTTTTGGTAGCGTGACGTTAGGTGTGTAAATACTGCAGTTAATGTTTTTTTTTGTCGAAATCTTGTTGGGAGACAAAGCAATAAGCTCAATTGTCCAATCGCAGAATGCGTCCATGAGCAAAAAAACAGAAGAAAATCAAATTTCAAAAACTAATCGGTAAAAACAATTATAATAATTGCCAATATTACCCAAGAAACGAATAAATTATGCAAAGTGAGTAATTTGAGGAATTTTGAACAAATTCATTAAAAAAACTTGACAAATTCACTCAAATAATGTTACATTTATTCATTTCCTTGGTATTAATGACAATTAGAACAAATGTTTTTATCGATTCGCCCGTATAAAATAATGTTTTTCTGCTCTTAGACCCATCATGCTTTTAGACCATTCTGCTCATTGACTGGCCACCATCTTGTTGATTATGCGACAATTCGCTGTTGTTTAATAGAATAATAGAGTTACAGTTTGAGTTGAGCTCGATAATTGATATGGTCGTGTAGCGATTAGCATGTGTGCCTATTCGCATACCATAATTGCTTTTTCTGGGTTTGTTTTCAGGCGAAAATTAAATTAGCCTACATTTTCAAAAAATTTTGAAATCCATTTGATTTGTTAAGTGAGTTAAATTTTCACTTACACTTAATTGAAAATTCGTCTGAGTGCAAGCTTCTAAAATTTCAAATTTGAGTTAACAAAATTTGAAATAGCGAATCTTCAATCTACATTCAATTACATGGGTATGTCAATTGACACACATGCTAATAGGTCAATGCCCATTTGATATTCATAAAGCAAACCAGACAATTTTTTAATTGATATCATAAGTTTACAATTTGCGTGTTAGGTCGGTTTTTAATTTCGTTTATAATCTCAGAAATGGGAAAAATATTTGATTTACAAGGAGAACAGTAAATTAAAAAAGACTGAAAATAAAACTAAGAGGAAATAATTAAAAATTGTGGTTGATAGCATTTGGTTTTGCGGATCCTGTTAACTATTTCCCCCCTATTGCAATAGGGGGTGGGGGATAATCAACAAGGTACAAAATTCGTATATGCTTAACTGTTCAATTATTTCTTTATAGGGGCGGGGCATATTCGCTGCAAGGTACCATAGGGGGGAAAATAGTTAACAAGATCCGGCTTTGCTGGCTCATTATTGTTTTTGGATGTAAAGGAAAAGAACGAATGTTTTTTTCAAGAAATAATGACTGACTGAGATTGCTATGGTGATCATGAATCGAGCGAAAAACTTCTTTGTAATTATATCACCATTACGAAGAGACAGAAAATGCTGCGTTTTTCCAAAGGTCGGAGCATGGAAGAAATACTTTAATTTGCTTGCATTTAAACGTCCAACGAGTCGTATTTTTAATTTCTGAGAAATTATTCAGCGTTGGTATCCATAAGTAATATGGCATAAAACTGCTAAGAAATTGGATAGATAAAATACCAATTTACCAATTTAAAATTAATTTGTTTATTCTATCGACTGAACGAACAAATTTACCATTGATTTTTGTTACATAAACACCATAATTACCTATTTTTTTTGCAATTTGTTCGTATTTACTGTTTTTTTTTATTTCGCCAAGACTGGATCTATTATTACGTCTCTAGGAGCAGCCTTCCCTCGAAAATGGGTGAACCCACCGACGGAGAAACAGCAAAGAAGGCGTAAGTAAAATAAAGACATTGCATCTTTCTTGCGACATCTGACATATAGTCATATTCATCGTGTGCTTCATTTTTTTTCATAACGTTTTGAAGTTTGGACAAGAAGGTCTAATTTTTTTATGAACGTGTTGAGTCCATTGAGATTACGTTTCGCTCTGTTTTGTGATTTGAAAAGGAAGGAAGTCCAGTTAAAATCAATGCGATGCATTTTATAAGACAGGGTCGGTAATTTGGGATGATCAATCGGTTTATCAATTTTCCAGAAACGCGTGGCGTATGCGGCGAATTAATCCTGCTAAAAAACTACTGAACTAAGGCAGTTGATTTGATGCAAAAATCCCGTTACGAGACAAAGAGTTTAAATTCGAAAACTTATTTGTTAGAGAAAAAAATTCAGTCTCGCCTAATTTTTTCGCACTTTTATAAACAGTTTCTCACACTTATTACGCTTGCGAAGCAATGTGTTATAGTACAAACTTCCTTTTTTTCCAAACCTAAGTCGCAAATAATGTTGTTCTGAGAAGATTCAGAACAAGTTCACAGACATGCCTGAGGTGCGTAAGATGTTGCGACAGTTGATACTCCTGATCAAGTACTTGGAGAAGGATAGGAAGGATGACCCCAAACAGACCATTGGCCAATTTCTCCAACATATCAACATAGAAGCCATCCCAGGTGAACATCGGGATTGGTTATTCCTCTAAGTCGTGTTTTAAATGATGACAACCTTTAACTAGCCCCAGCTTAGTCAATCTGCTTATGATTATGCTTTGTCTTACTTTTCGCCACAATATTTTTCTGGTTATGCTTTGTGTCTTGTTTAGGAACCAGTGATATCAAACTTGAGTCCTGCGTGTTCCTCTGGCAAACTCTGGCACTTCAGAGAACCAGACTGATGCTGGATTACCAGGACGAAGAACCATACGCCGGGATCCAACACCAATTCCGAGAAACTCTCAACTCGCAGCAGAAAAAGGACCTGGAGGAACTGCCTGCGAAGAAGAAATATGTTCTGTTGACTTATTTGAATTAGCTGATTGTGCTTAATTTGGACAAACTTGATCTGATGAATCCAAATTATCAGTAAGTTGAACATTTTTCAGACCAGTTCTCAAATCGTAAACAATTCTTGCCTTCATAATCTTTCCTTTCTTTTTATGAATGAGAAGAAAATCTAACTCTAAAGCATACCGATATTTTGAACAAAAACTTAAGTGTTTTTTTTTTTCAAAACTATCCACGGTTAATAGCAAAGCTCTTGTCAGAAAACAGCTCAACTCAACTAAATGTGCACTGATTGAATGTCCTCTCTGAAAAACCTTTATTATGTCTCTGACTATCTATAATTTCAGTATGTTTCAGCATTTTGGACGACCATTTAGCTCCCGCGTATCTCGATGATGGTCTCGACACTCTGGATCTACCAAAATGGTGTCAACTCAAATACGCAGAAGACATAATCAAACATGTCCTAAAAGAAAATTGAAAATGGCTTACTTCAATACATCCTAAAACTTCCGAATATCCTACAAAACTTGAAAGAGGTTGAATATAACTTTGATTGATATCATTCCTTAATTGTTGATCACTAGGCAATTTTTCTTAGTTTCGATGTGTTATATGTATAGGTGTAATATTTAGATGTATCATATTACAAATTGACTATTATTTTCTAGTTGCTATTATTCGATGCCCCAACTGGAGTTTGGGCACAGTTGAAAAGAATACCATGTATAGAATTAAATTTTTCCCCATCATTTTTGAGTGATAGTGAACAAATTTGGTTATACTGAATGTCAATGAACGAAATAAAAACTCTTAATCTTTCCTGGAGTTAGAAAAAAAACCACTTTGCACGACTCAATTTTGAAAAAGTGTCAAGCGCAATCATTATTTTAATAAAACAAGACAACTCGGTTCAGGACAAAGCTTTGGTTAATCCGACTGCCCATTAACTAGTCTTAAATGTTTTTAGTTAATGAAAATTTAACAAACTATAAACTTTGGGTTGATCAAATCGAATTTGAAAAGCAAAAATTTCAACCTCTCAAGTTTAAAAAGATTCCCTGAATTCAATTTGGAATTGTGTTATTGGATTAATTTTCAGCATTAAAGTATGTAATTATTTTTTCCGAGC